AATTTCTGCCATTACTGTGTTTCAGATTTCCTAGAAGTTTTTGTCAAATAATGAGTTTTTGTTCCAAAGCTTAGATCTTCAGGTTTAACATATACTTATTATCATGATCTTTTCCTATAATGTAATTTTTATCTAATGAATTTTAGTGTTCTATCACTCTATTTCTTAGCCAGTACCAGACTGTTTTGATAATTACTGCTTTATAATACAGTTTGAAACCACCTTCCTTCACATTTTTTACTGTTTGAAATCCTTGATCTTTTGCTCTTCTAGATGAATTTTATTATTTTTTTTCTTGCTCTATAAAATATTTTTGGTAATTTAGTTGGCATGACACTGAATTAAAAAAAATAATTTAGGTAGAACTGTTGTTTTTATTATATTGGCTTAGAAATTAATAGGCAATTAACACTTTTCCAATTATTTAGATCTGACTTAATTTGGACAAAAAGTTTAATCTTTATTTGTTTATTTAGCTGTTTGTTGGCTTTTTCATTTATTTATTTATTTATTTGTTCACTTATTCATTCATCTATCTATTTATTTATTTATTTATCTATTTATTTAATTATTTATTTATTTATGTGATTGTGCTTATATAGTTCCTGGTTGTGTCTTGGCAGGTAGACTCCCAAGTATTTTATATTATCAAGAGTTACTTTAAGTGGAATTTCTCTTTGTATCTCTTGCTGCTGGGCTTTGTTGGTAATATGTAGAAATGCTGGTGATTTATGTGTGTTTATTTTGTGTCCTGCCATTTTGCTAAAGTTGGTAATAATTTCAAGTAGTTTTTGAGTTGATTCTCTAGCATTTTCTAAGCATACCATCATATCATGTACAAAGAATGGTAATTTTGTTTCCTTATTACCTGTCCTAACTATTTTTTTCTCCTATTGCTATAGCTAATATTTTAATTACAATAATAAATAATAGAGGTGATAATGAGCATCCTTGCTTCCCCCCAATTGCATTGAGATTAGCTTATCCCCATAATAAATAACACTTGCTGACGGTTTTAGATAAATATTATTTATCATTTTAAGGTAATTTTCATTTATTCCTATGTTTGCTAGGGTTTTTAATAAGAATGGATGCTGTATTTTGTAACTTTTTTTGCATCTGTTGAGATAATCTCATGATTTCTGCCGGGTTTTGTTATTGATATGATCAATTATGCTGCTAGTTTTCCTAGAATTAAACCAGTCCAACATTCCTGGTATAAACCTCACCTGGTCATTGTGTATGATCTCTGTGCTATGTTACTGCAATCTCTTTGCTAATATTTAATTTAAAAATTTTCATCAACATTCAGTAGGTAAATTAGTTTATGATTTTCTTTCTTTGTTTTGGCTCTTCCTGGTTTGGATATCAGTACCATATTTGTGCCATAAAAGGAATTTGATAGAACTCCTTCTTTGCCTATTTTTCCAATTAGTTTACGTAGTATTGGGATTAATTGTTCATTAAATGTTTGGTAAAATTCATTTCTGAATCCATCTGTTCCTGGAGATTTTTTCTTAGGAAGTTCATTAATGGCTCATTCAGTTTCTTTTCTAAGATTAGGTTATTTAAGTATTTAATTTCTTTTGTTAATCTGGATAATTTATATTTCTGTAGATATCCGTTTCATTTGGATTGTCAAATTTCTTGACACATGATTGGGCAATATAGCTCCTAATAATTGTCATAATTTCCTCTCCATTGGTGGTGAATTCACTGTTTTCATTTTTGATACTAGTTTTTTGGTTTTCTTCTTTCCTTTTTTTCAAAAATCAAATTAACCAATGTTTTGTCTATTTTATTGTTTTTTTTTCCCATAAAACCAGCTTCCAGTTTTATTTATTAGTTCAATGGTCTTCTTACTTTCAATTTTATTAATCTCTCCTTTGTTTTTCAGTATTTACTATTTGGTGTTTAATTGGAAATTTTTAATTTGTTCTTTTTTTAGTTTTTAAGCTGTATGAACAATTTATTGATCTGAACTTTTCTCTATTTTATTGATGTAAGTGACTAGAAATATAAATTTTCCCCTAATTACCACTTTGGTGCATATCATAAATCTTGGTATATTGTCTCATTGTTGTCATTTTCTTTAATGAAATTATTGTTTCCATGATGTGTTTTTTTGACACATTTGCTTTTTTTAGGATTAAATTATTTAATTTGCAATTAATTTTAATCTCTCTTTCAATTGTCCATTATTGAATGCAATTTTTATTGCATTATGATCTGAAAAGTATGTGTTCACTACTTTGGCCTTTCTACATTTGGTTGTGAGTTTCTAATTCCTAATGCATGGTCAGTTTTTTGTGTAGATGCCATGTAATGCTGAGAAAAAGGTATATTCCTTTCTTTTCCTATTCAGTTTTCTTCAGAGAGCTATCATATTTACTTTTTCCAAAACAGTATTTGTCTTCTTAACTTCTTTCTTGTATATTTTTTTGATTAGATTCATCTAGTTCTGAGATGGGAAAGTTGAGGTCCCCCACTAATATAGTTTTATTATCTATTTCCTCCTACAACAAATTCAACTTCAAAAATTTAGTGCATATATGTTTAATGTTGATATGAATTTATTTTCTATGGTACCTTTCATCAAGATATCATTTCCTTCTCTGTCTCTTTTAATTGGATCTATTTTTTGCTTTTGCTTTGTCTGATATCATGATGGCTACTTCTACTTTCTTTGCTTCAGCTGAAGAATGATAGATTCTGCTCTAGCCCCTTACTTTTACCCTACATGCATCTCTCTACTTCAAATGTGTGTTTTGTAAACAGTATATTGTAGGATTCATATTTTTAATTGATTCTCCTATCTGCTTCTGTTTTATGGAGAGTTCATCCCATTCACATTCATAGTTATGATAATTAAATGTATTTCTCTCCATGCTATTTTTTTTGCTTATCACCCCCTCTCTCTTGCACCCCATCTTTTCCATCCTCACAAGTGTTTTACTTCTGATCATTGCCTTCACTAATATATCCTCCCATTTATCAGTCTCACCTTCACATTCATTATCCTAATCCCTTTTTACTTCCTTACATGGTAAGATAGATTTCTATATCCAACCGAGCATTTATGTTATTTCCTCTGAACCAGTTTTGATGAGTAAGATTTAAACTATGCCCACCACCCTCTCCATCCCCCTTCTATTATGATAGATATTTCATGCCACTTTTATGTGGGATAATTTACCCCACCCAATCTTCACCCTCTTTCTTTTTTCTAGTGCAATTTTCTTTCTCATTCTTTTTTTTTGGGGGGGAGAAGGAGTAATCATCCCATCAGAGTCCTCTTCCATCCACACCCTCTGTCTACTTTTTAATTGCTTTTATAATAATAAAGTTGTCAAGAGTTACAAATACCTTGTTGTACAGAAATATAAACAATTTAACTTTATTGAATTTCTGATGTTTTCTCTTTTTTGTTTCTTTTTTTTTTCCTTAGGCTACTGGGGTTGAATGACTTGCCCAGGGTCACACAGCTAGTAAGTGTCAAGTGTTTGGTCTGACTCTGGATTTGAACTCATGTTCTCCTGACTTCAGGGCTGGTGCTCTATCCAGTGAGCCACCCATCTGCCCCTTTTTTGTTTCTTCTTTACCTTTCTTGTGTTTCCTTGACTCTTGTATGTAGAGGTCATTTTTTTTTCTTATTCAGCTCTGGTCTTTTAATTCAAAATGCTTGAAATTCCTCTATATCAACAAATGTTTATCTTTTCCCCTGAAAAATTATATTCAATTTTACTGGGTAAGTGATTCTCAGTTGTTCTCCCAACTCATTTGCCTTCCTGTATATCATATTCCAAGACCTCTAGTTCCTTAATGCAGAACCTGCCAATTCTTATGTAAACTTCACTATAGCTCCATGATTTTTTAATTGTTTCTTTTTGGCTTTTTATAGTACTTTCTCATTGATACATGAGCTCTGAAATTTGGCTATGATGTCCCTGAGTTTTCATTTGGGGATCTCTTTTAGGAGGTGATTGGTGGATTCTTTCCATTTCTATTTTGCCCTCTGGTTCTAATGCAGTTGTTTTGTTTTTGTTTTTGTTTTTAATAATTTCTTGAAAGATGTTGTCCACACTTCATTTGTTTTTTAATAGCTTTCTGGTAGTCCAATAATTCTTATCTCTCTTGGATTAATTTTCTGGGTCAGTTGTGTTTCCAATGAGGAATTTCACATTTTCTTCTATTTATTTTTTTACTTTTTTGATATTGTTTTTTAACATATATTGATGTCTAATAAAGTCATTAGTTTCCACTTCTTCAACTCTAATTTTTAAGGAATTATTTTCTTCAGTAAGCTTTTGTACTTCTTTTTCCATTTGGCAAATTGTATTCTTTAGGGAGTTATTTTCTTCAATGAATTTTTATATCTTTTCCCATTCTATTGACTCTTTTTTCATAATCATTTTGCATTAGTCTCATTTATTTTCCAAATTTTGTCCTACTACTTTAATTTGCTTTTTAAAATCCTTTTTAAGCTCTTCAAGAAATTTTTTTTTTTTTGCGAGCTGGGACCAAATTCCATTTTTCTTTGAGAGTCTATACCTTAACCATTTTGAGACAATTGTCCTCTTCAAAGTTTATGCTTGATCCTCCCTAACACCATAGTAACTTTCTATTGTAATCAAGTATTTTCTTTTGTTTTGTTGTTTGCTGATTTCTTCCGTCTTTTTTTTTTTATTTTATTTTTTGGTAATTTGGTATTTTAATGTGAGAGTTGGACTCTGGTCCTCCAATCTACCAAACTTTATGTGTTGAGGCTCTGTGTCTTACTGCTGGTTTTCAATAGGCTTCAGGGCATAGCCACTTGCTTTCTCTGGAGAGTAAACTTCCCTTCTGGCTTGTCCTAGGGCTTGGGGCCTCTCTGTTGTCCTCCCTTGAGTGTGGGGTTTAGCTGCTGGCTTGTCCCAGGAGTGGAGCCTTGTTGCTTGGTTGCTATGGAAACAGAGTCTCTCTGCTGGTAGGTCCCAGGTGTGGAGTTTAACTGTTGGCAGGCCCCAGGGCAGGGCTTAACTGCTGGTTAGCAATGGGTTCAGTGCCTTACTGGTGGCTTGTTCTGGGGGCAGAGTTGCTGGGATAGGTCCTTGCTCTTCTGCACAGACTGCTTACTTAACTAGGGGGATGCTGGTTTGAGTGCCTCAGACTTGGGGCTTTACTGCAGGCCCCCTGCTGTGAGGCTGGCTCCTGTTGCTGCTCTTGGACGTTGCTCCTCTACCGCCTAAGAGATCCCTAACTTTCCTGTGTGGCTGGTAAGCTGCTTTCGTGTTTGTAGATTAACTCTGAAGTGGTTTTCTAGTTGTTTGGAGGGTAATTTGGGAGGGCTTCAGAGACTTCATTCCTCATTCTGCCATCTTGGCACTGAAAGTCCTGTTGCTTTTCTTAAGAAAGGGTTAATAACATAGATTAAACTTAAAAGTGTATAATAATATTTTTCTCTCCCTCAGAGCCTATTTATGAAATATTTGCAAGCACACATTTGTATTGTTGTATTACTTGAGCTCAGTGGAAGTTTAGTAGGAGGCTCTTGTAATGAAGTCACTACCAGATTGGCAATTTGGTGAGTGAAGTTCTAGTGACTGGCAGCATAATTAACAACAACATAAATAACAAAAACAATAAGCAAAATAATTTCAATAGCTTTCTCCAAGAGCTTATTTTGGACATATTAATACTATTACTTGATTATAATGCCTATAGAATACTCTGTTTATAGAATGGTAATAATAATTGACATTTATGTGGCACTTCATGATTTGTAAAGTATTTACATCCACTATCTCTGAATCTCAAAGCACTAATTTCCATTTATCCTTGTTTCATTCTGTTGCTTTCCTATCAAAAATATAGAGTTATTTGCATTATCTATCAAGGATTTTATCTATGAAACTACTGATAAACTATGTGCTTGTTGGTTAAATACTCTCTTAACTAAATTCAGAGAGAAGTAACATTAGATTATCCATGTATTGACACATTATTCATCTACAACAATTCTGAAAACAAAACAAAACAAAACAAACAAAAAACAATCTACTGGGTTGTAGAGAAGCAGCTATCTGTAATCTTATTGAGATAAGTGGTTTAATGTTACTGAGATAAGCTTATTTGGATTATAAAATTCTATATGTTGTGAGCTGTTCTATAATAGATGATAGGTATTTCTCCCAATAAACTCAATATTCATCTTTCTCACTCCTTCCTACTTCCAAGAACTTGTAGTAAAACTAATGTAGCAGTTACAAACATCAGAAAACTCCCAATAATGTGGTTCAAGTTTTCCATGGCTATGTTGATGCAACTAGTGATTTATATTGCCTATGGAAAATTCACAGTTTGAAGTAACACTAATTAAAAAAAAAAGAAATATAATACTTAGCATTTATATACTGCCTCAAATCTGCAAAATATTTTACAAACATTATATTATTTTATCTTCAAAATAACCTTGGAATATAGGTGCTGTTATTATCACTATTTTACATATAGGAAAACTGGGGAACACAGTGGTTAAGTGACTCACTCAGGCCACAGAGTTAGTAAATGTCTGAGACTGGATTTAAACTCAGATCTTGTGAATTCCTGATCTCATAGTAGGTAGGTTATGACCACTGTCACATATATCTTTTATTTATATCTTTAAAACATTTTTCAATCAACAAAATTTATTTCCTCCCCCTCCCATCTCCTAATCCTCCCAGTTGAAAAAAAAAAAGATACAAGACTTTGTAACAAACACACAGTTAAGCAAAATAATTTCCACCTCGACTAAGTACAAAAATTCACATCTCTATTCTTTATAAACAGAAACAAAACATTCAAAAGGAATTTAAATGGCCACTACAACTTCTTGACTCTGAAAGTTGTCAGCAGATTTAAGGCATGCATAGGAAATAGTAGCATACGAGAAAGTTATAGAGGAAAACACGAAAGCAGTACATGTTTATGTTGACAAAATGAGCGAGACTTCAAAACAATCCTTAAAAATGGAAAGGAAGAAAGGAAGGAAAGAAAAATTAAATTTCATAATACTGTGTTCAAAAGATCATAAGAATACTTGGAAGACCTGTGTGTAAATGATGCCTCCAATTCTTATTAGCTGTGTAACCAGGACAATAATTATTAAATATCTGTTAATAAAGACTTATTAAGGAACTATTATGGCCAGGCAATGTATTAAGTGCTGAAGATATAGAAAGAAACAAAAGACAGTCCCTGTCTTCAAGGAGCTCACAATTTAATGGGAAAGACAATAAGAAAACATATATGTACAAATAAGCTCTATAGATGACAAATAGGAAATGATTAAATTAGGGTAAGCACTAGAATTAAAAGGGATTTGGAAAGGCTTCCTATAAAAGATGGGATTTTAAATGGTATTTGAAGAAGCAAAGGCATTGAGTGAATCATTCAACTTATCTAAGTCAGTTCTTCTCCTGTATAATGAGGATAAGAAAAATTCCTATATCCTAGGATTGCTATGAAGATCAAATAAGATAATGAATATGAAACGCTTTGTAGACCTTGAAGTACTATAAAACCTTCATTTATTATTAACTGTTTTGTTATACATTATGTTCAGTTATTTGATACACAAGACTGAGCAAATAAAAGCCAAAAATATACATTTTAAACTATGTATATCTAGGGGCAGCGAGGTGGCACAGTGGATAGAGCACCGCCCCTGAAGTCAGGAGGACCTGAGTTCAAATCCAGGCTCAGATCAAACATTTGACATTTACTAGGTATGACCCTGGGCAAGTTACTTAACCCCCATTGCCTTAAAAAAATAAACTATGTATATCTAGATGTTTAATATTAACTTTGGGCATTGAATATCTACACTAAAAATGTTATTCAGTATTGAAAAGGACATTGTTTTGCTGCTAAAAATATATTTCTCATTTTCTATTCTGAATGCATCACCTCTCAATCATGAGGTGAATATCATGCTTTGTTATTGATTCTCTGGAATTGGGACTGGTCACAATTGTGACTTCATCATAATTATTTAATCTATCCAAGTCCCTTAGCGCTTTAGATAGGGTCTTAGGGCTAAAAAAAAAAAGGGGGGGGGCTTCCAGATTGGTTTATTAATTTAAGCTTTGTACTTCATCTGTTGTGGTGATCAATCTATTTTTAACTATTACCAAATTGTTGTGATGATTACTACTTTGTAGCAAAGTTTGGGATTTTCTACTCTATGACCCTTTTTCTTCTCACTTTTATTCATAATTTTCCTGGAGATACTTGTCCTTTTGTTACTGTATATGAATTTTTATAATTATTTTTTTCTAGTTCTGAAATGTAATCATTTAGTAGAGTGGTATGTTGCATTACATAAATAATTTATATTAGACTAGCAGTTTTATTATATTAGAATGGTGTGCCCATTAGAAAATTTTTTCTTTAATTAAGTCCAATTATTTATTTCCATAAAGATCATTTTGTAATTGATTTCATAGTGCTACTATTTGTGTCTTGGTAAATAGACTCCCAAGTATTTTATACACGTTGTATTCAGTTTAAATGGTATTACTTTCTTTCAACTTACTTTTGGTTTTTCATGATAATATACAAAAATGCTGCTGATTTATATGAATTTATTTTATATCTTACAACTTTACTTAAGTTATTGATTCGAATTTTTTTCATTGACTCTCCAGTGTTCTCTAAGTAAACCATTATATCATTAGGAAAACATGATAATTTTGTTTCTTTTTTTTGCCTTTGATTTTCCCCTAAACACTTTTTTATATCTTGTTGCTATGGTTATCATTTCTAACATTGCACTAAATAGTAATGTTGATAATTACTTTCTTTACCCAAACCTTATTGGAAATTTTTTTTTGTTCATCCAGAATGTAATAATTGTAGCTCTTAGTGTTGTGTAGACAAAAAGGAAAGGTGCAACTATTTTTTTTTAAACTGAAATGATTGCTATACCGTATAAAAAAAAAACCTTTTTCTGTATATATCATTAGAAATATATAATTTTTTCAGATAGTCCAATGACTCATAAATGATCTCTTGTCCTGTTTTCCAGGTCAGGTTTTTCTTTTAATTAGGCAATTAATAAATCCTATTTTTTTTTTCAGTTTTTTAGGTTAAAAAACACTTTTATTGTATGTGATAGGACAGCAATTTTCTGACTCAGCTTCCCTGACTCTTCCCTACTTCATGTCACCTAATTGATTCCAAGCCTATAAGTTGGTATTGACTTGTATTTGGTCTTTTAATTTTCAAGTCATCTGTTAGTTGGATAAAATTTTGTTCTTACACAAAGTTGTTAATTTTCCTTACTTGTCTTATCTGCATAACTCCCATTTGTTTTCCAATTACTTCCTCTAAATTGATCATTTAATTGGTCAGGTAATTTATACTCGTTGAAGAAAATCTTTTTCTTATTTCTTTCAGAAGTTCTAGTTGACCTCATGGTTAAGCTATGATTTTCTTTGAGACTTTACTTGTATGTATTTTGGCATTATTTTCTTTTTCCTTTGTTTCTTTCGGAATCCTTTGTTTCATATTATCATTATTGCTTCTTAAAACCAAACAAAATAAAGAAACAACAACAATAAAAGCTAAAACCCTCTTTCTTCCAACTGTACTTCCTAAATTTGAACTTTATTCTTTTGTTACAGAACTTAGCACTATGCCTGGCACATAGTAGGTGCTTAATAAATGTTTATTGATTGATTGGTTGGTTGGTTGGTTTAGCACTACACTATGTTAAAATTGATAATAGGGCCCAGTATCATCATGATCTCAGTTACCTGGGTTCCTACTGCTTTATTTCCTAGATATTGAATGTTTTATTTTTTCCAAGGATTTGAAAAATAGCACAGGTCAGGGTACCACAGACTTTGGCATATCCAAGCAGTCTGATCTAGAAAATGGTCTAAAGCACAGCTCTCCAGGTCTGACCTTGGCAAACTTTGCACTTAAGTCTGGGTCTAGGCAACGCAACTACAGGCTTAGTTAGAATTTTAATAGAAAGTTGAATGCCTCAGCCATTGTCTACTAATTTGAAGTATCTGCTGATTTAGAGGTATAAGCTGATTTCTGACCCACAATTCCTGCCCTGGTTAATCACTAGTGGGTTGAATCCAAGCTTTTGCTATGGGCTTTAAAGAAATTGAGTTGTAATCTGACCCTTGTTCCTCAGATCTTTCTTTGCTTACTTACTGTGGATTGAATCCAACATTTCCAGGGTCTATAACAGGCCTACACCAGGTTTCATTCCCTGTCC